ATAACAACATAATAATAATAATAATAATAATAACATAATAATAATAATAATAATAATAATAATAATCAAGCGATTTCTAAGCACTCACTATCCACTGGCATCATCATCATTACTGGTTGCGTTCCACAATTCATAAATCCACTCTGCATATACGCACCCTAATAACGCATACAATATAGCTACAGCAATAATAATAATAATAATAATAATAATAATAATAATAATAATAATGATAAGCATAATACTAAAAATAATGAAAGCAGACCAAAACACACCGTAAATTGCTGCTGTCCGATAGCGTTGCTGCTATTCGCTGCGTTATTATCGCCGTTATAATTCAGCGCGGAGTCTCGATTACCCGCACCTTTATTCATTTCAATTTCATGTTCGCTATAATTCGCTACACCACCTTTAATACTTGCCGCGATCACTGATCTATTCAGCGCTCGCTCATCAGTGCGTTCTAGTTCGTGTGGCGGTAAAACCTATTATTATTATTATTGTTACTATTATTATCATGATCATGATCAATCGATGCAATCGATCACTGCAAATCACTAAAAATGACCTGCTCAAAAACCGCGTCTAAAAACTGATCCACATCGCAGTTTTTCGATGGAATCTGCATACGACGTATACGCGACGCTACGGACATGTGTGCGTAGTCATCGTTGGTGTTGTTCGCTGATACTCGCTGATACTGCGCTGCTGCACATTCTTCTGCACTGTTCAGCACTAGAGGCATGTTCCGTTGTTGACTTACTGTATCATTATCATTATCATTATCACTAACATTATCACTAATATTATCATTATCACTGATATTATCAGTAGCATCGTTACATGACAAATCGCTGGTGGCTGCTGCTGTTGGTTCTTACCTTGTTGCGAAGAAGATGGAATAAATGNACTTACTGTATCATTATCATTATCATTATCACTAACATTATCACTAATATTATCATTATCACTGATATTATCAGTAGCATCGTTAGATGACAATTTTAGAATCGCTGGTGGCTGCTGCTGCTGTTGGTTCTTACCTTGTTGCGAAGAAGATGGAATAAATGATGTAGTCGGTAGCATCACTGGCATTAGCTGCACTTGAGCTGACATCACTGGCTGAATATAGCACTAGTTAATCATCACATTCAACTTGAATCACTATTACTCTTACAATTAGATTAATCACTATTACTCTTACAATTAGATTAATCACGATTACTCTTACAATTAGCACTTTACTATTACTACAATAACACTGAACCATGGTGAATTGCTGAGGTATGTAGGCGAATTGCGGGTGCTGATTGTTACACTTGGAATCTGCAGAGATCTTCGAGAACTGCATCTGCTGTTGACGGTATCGATTCATTGTATGACCATCGTTTTCGGGTGTTGCTTGCATTGCACGTGACTGCATTGATTGCTTGAATTCAATTCTTATTACTTCTTAATAACAGTTACAATTACAATAATTCAATATAAACTTACATCAAATTCATTCTGATAAGCCTTTCTTTCCAGGGTATCACCACTCTCATAGAAACACTCATTTTGATGTGACTCCGGTATGGTGACGTCTCGTGCTGTTGCTATTCTCACTTTTCGATCAATTCCTCCTAATGAATAATGATTACAATAACACTTAAAATAAAACCTTCAACTTGCTCTCGTCAAAACTCAAAAACAAACCATTTGCATAACGTCTATTCAACGAACTGCACGAAAGCCCTTCTGCAACCAGTGTATCGTGTGCTACTGCAGCACCTATTAACGCACCTTGCCCTTGCCCTTGCCCGTAGCGTTCTCGATTCTCTTCCACACCAACTTCACTACTTAAAATTATTTTACTTACTAAAATTACTTAACACTACGCTCTCAAACGCAACCAAATACCAACTTTATAACGATCACCTTAATAATAAGAACAATAACAATAACAATTACATATCAATGATCCACTCAAATCAATCATTAATCAATAATCAATGATCCATAACAATGATCCTATCATATCCTCCACCTAAAATCAAAACACTAAACAGAGCAGAGCTACTTGATTACCTCGGGCGTTGCTCTGCATAAATACGTGATTGCTGCTGCTGCTGTGACATGTGGTGTGGCGGAGGGGTCGGAGGCTTCATTGGATCATCATTCATTTTCAACGGAGACTCCCTATTGCACGGTGTCTCTATAACTGTACGTCGACTGCTCCCATTCGGTGTAAACTGCTCATATCTCTCACTCTAAACAATCAAGCAATTGCTACTGTTCAAATACCTCTATTAATCAACCAACTACAATCAACATAATAACTACTACAACAATAATAATAACACTCCATCCTCACCTCAACAATCAACACGCAGCACAAAATAACACTACCGAATCTACTCTACAAATTAACTAAATTTATTGCTGAATTTATCCGATGCAATGCTTTACTCTATAAGGCTTAAGGCTTCAATCATCTAATCCTTATTTAATGCACATAAATTCAAATTTATAAATAAATTTACCATTCCTATCGTTGGTGATGAACGAAGCATGTCATCATCATGCTCGTCAATATACTGTTGCTGCTGCTGCTGCTGCTGGTTACCTAAGGATGTCTGTTGCAGATTATCACATATAATCTCGTTATTCATATTCATATTATGATGAGCAGCAGCAGCAGCATTGAAACGGTTATTAAACATCACAAAATAATCGTCGCATTCAATCTGCTGCTTGTAATTCTCGTTGTTCTCATCGCCGTTGTAAAATACTTCTTCGGTAATCATCTCATCACCGTAATGTTCCTCTAATTGCGCTATCATATCAAACACGTAACTATCCGAAGCGTTTTCAATTAGCCATTTATCATTTTCTACACCCAACGACCAATACTCTGGTTCGCCGATCCCTCTAAAATACAACATTGCAGTAATAATATTAATAATAACTTGATCAACAATACTAGTATACAGATAAGATATACAGATAGATATGCGTGCCAAGTAACCTGGATCTTAGAAACTTCATTGCGATCTCGTCACAAGTCATCCACGAATCCACTTCAAAATCATTCGCCTCACCATCTACGCAATTAATTCGCACTACTATCGCTTGTTGCTGCTTGAAGGCAGCCTAATAGCACACAGCATTATTATTATTACTATTATTGCTGTTGTTATCATTAAATGACTTTATTTGAATTATTTCACTTCAAAATATTGATAGCAATTCACTGTAAACTGTAATCGCTAGGTAAAATATGCCAAATAAAGGTGTTTCACCGTTACTTGTAAGAAAACTGACTTGCTCAAGAAAAGTTGATGCGAAGACGCGATTCGGTGGCGCTTCACGATTTCGGATACGACCCAGAAGAGCATCAATAAGCTGAGAGGAAAGATTTTGCGGCACTGTTTGGAAATAACTATAACAAAATAACTACTATAATAATAATAATAATAGCGCTTACTGAGGTGTACAAGTTATGCCAACATGAATAAATCACCACAACTTAAATAAAACAGCAAAACAACCAACTGCATTAGCATCGGGAATATATGAATGCTTGGTGGAAAGCTATTGCATGCACACAGCATTAAGGTCCATGCTTTTTCAGCGTTAGCTTTCAGACGATTTCGATAGGTTTGATTACACAACTGAACGTAGATTTCATCACGCTGCTCGGGTGCATCGATCCCCTTCAATTCATTCACAACATTTCATTTGAGCGCTATCAACCACACTTTTTAGATATACTGATGATAGTGATACGTGTGAGTATCGATAAAACTAGATGCATATCACATATAGATACTTGTGTGCACATCTATTTATTGATACTTATTGAAAAATACTTCTAGATGGATTACATATCCTTCCTTCTAGATGGATTACATATCCTTCCTTCTAGATACCGAATAAACGCCTTCTTTCAGTAAGCACCAAAGCAGCGCAGCAGCCAGCGAACGTGAATGATAATGACCCTTGAACATAACTTTAACAGTTCAGTGACCAACTCCGCAGCAATTGCAATGCAAAAGAGCAGTCGTCGTGTTTGCGTGAAGAATATTCGATAATGTAATGTGTGTAATCGATAATGTAAGAATACCATCGAATACAATCTAATATGCTTGACATGATGGGCTCGTTATGAACATAACAATCGGCAAGAACAGTCAGCTAAACGTCGTCGAATCTAAGTCGAAACCGTCGAATTTAAGCATCTTGTAAGCAAGGGCAATCGCGCATTGTCGTCATCACACTAGCAGCAGTATTTTAGCAAACGTCCAAACGTGCAATATAGAGTACAGTTACTGCTCAACCACTCAGCAATTATCTGTTTAATTAATGAATTAACATTAAGCACCTTTTGTATGATAGTTTTTGCAATGATCGCAAGTTGTTGTTCCGATAGTTGTGTATCATTCATATAACGCAAAATCAACTTGAATATACCCAACGCTTCCTCAAATTCCTCCTCAGTGTCTTTGGCGAGGAATGGTGTGGCTATTGGCTCACGACGAGCCTCCAATAGATGACCCTTTAAATGATATCATTTTCTATTGAACAACTCTTCATCAACTATCAAAACTTTTATCAATACTCTAATAGTAACAATCGTGACCAGCCACGGTCAATCTACCGCCTTAAGACGCCTTAAGACTTAAGACAAGACCTAACGAAACGGATAGTTTGCCTATTAGGCAGGCAGCGAAATATCCATTTAAAAAGCATAAATTAGGCAAACTGTGCCCTAGGCAATGTGTCTTTAGACAGATTCACTGGTTACGTACAATATTAACAATAATAATAAAAATAATAACAGCTCTAGTAAGTGGTCTTACCTTGAAGCTACGCTCAGCAAACTGCTCTAATGAGATGAGCGGTACTTGAGGGATGGTAATTTTGCTTGTTAACGGAATATACGGTTGAGTGCTGACACGTCTGCGTATATCGAACATGCCACCAGTGCCACCACCACCACCACCACCAGCAGCAGCAGCACCAGCAGCATTAGTATTAGAATGAGCCGCAGCGTTCATCTCTAGCAGAGCGATTCGTTTCAGTTTCATCTCCAAATCGTTCGGTAAATCAATGTACTGCACACCGGCCAATGCAGTTTCGAAGGCTTTTTGTTGCTGTTGAAGTAGGTGTTGTTTGGTGAGTGTTCGTGCGAACGGCGGCGCTTGTTGTTGTGGTAAATTACGCTGCTCCAAGCCTAATTCACTACTACTGCTATTTACTGTTGAGCCGAGCATCTCACAGTTTTGGTTACTATCAGAGCGAAGCATTGCCGCAAATGACACCCCTCGGCTCGTAGCACTAGCACTAGCATCTGCTCCTGTACCTCCTCCAAGCAGCGACTGCAACTCTTCAGATTCCGCATAAACATTCATACGTCGCATCTGTCGTGTTTCTGCATCGATTGCACGTCGTTGCTCTGCACGCATCACCTCCACCAAACGCCTTAAAAACATCCATCAAGCATCAAATCAACTACCACCTACTAACAACCAAAAGCACAATCAATCAATCAATCAATCAATCAATCAATCAATCAATCAATAAATCAATCCGGCCAGCCAGCTCTATCGCTTAAGTCAGCAAAATCAAACCTCGCTTTCCAGCCTCTCAATCCTGACTGCAAAACCACGGCCGCATGACGTTTCCGTAAGAAACGACGTCTTGCCAGCATCATACGCATATTCTTTTGTATCATTATGGCGGCCCTTTCAGTTGTCACGCTTCGCAACGCTTCCAAATGCGCATTTATTTTCTCCTTCATATAAACCACCGTCTTACCTAAACGCAGCCACTCCATAAACACATTCAATTAAAACAATAATTAGAATATTCATTAAATCAATACCAATGCGAAAGCATTCTTGGAACTTATTGCCCTGTTGTTCCAAGACATCGTTGACGATTTCGATCGTTGTTTGACATCTGACCACGTCCGATGGCAACAGGCATCGATATCTAAAGCAATCTGACCATTGATTACTTCTTCTCTTCAATCGCTAACAACTTCACTTAAAACTCATTTATTCACACTAACCAACGTTCATTAGATACACAACTATATAATATACAAATATTTTCAAAAAAAAAAACTAATAAAAGCAGCTGCTAAAATAAACCCATCTGAAGCCACAAAACAAGACATAAGCAGCATCTCAATTTAAGCCTAAGCCGTGGCACTTGCAAGCTGCCAACAGGTTAGACTATAAAAGCTACTACTACTACTACTAATCATTATCCATTTACTTTAAATGACTTTAAATGAAACTTGAGCTTGAAAATGTTCTAAATCGACCTCTCTGCGAACACATCAAATGCTTCCTTGCGTGGATATCCACTCTTGCAGATTTTCAACGTGTCCAGCACGGCCATTGCGTGCAATTGCCTCACAACGGTTTGCTCACAAAACGTTTCCGGTAGTCGTTCGCTGTTCGAACGTATACATCGTACAAACTGGCATACACCTCTGCATCATTCACTTACTTTACTACTTCTCTCTGATAGTGAGTAATGATCACATCACATTTATTCTACCCAGCTTTATACCCGGTTGGTATTTTTGCTGCTAGTGGGCGCCACACCATGCTTAGATTACCACCTTGCCCCATGCTACTTTGTAGATATACAATTTGAAGTTAAATCACGAGTACTTAAGACTTACGCTTAGCCCAGTGATCAGGCTCAGGCTAACGCATAGACGTGCATTCTACTTATGGGTGAGGCGCATGAGCACACGAGCCAGCTAGCGATAACAGGCATGCTAGCTATTGCACGTTATCAGCAAAACTAAAGTATCATACCTAGAGCCAGTAAAACAAAACGCCTTCGTCCCCAAAGCATATACCAATTTTTGTATTATATCAACAACAACAACAATTAAAAATTTCATAATAGATAGATGGATAGATCTGTAGGGCGTATAAATAAATAAATAAATAAATAAATAAACAAACAAACAAATAAATAAATAAATAAACAAACAAATAAATAAATAAATAAATAAATAAATAAATAAGTAAATAAATAAATAAATAAATAAATAAACAAATAAATAAACAAATAAACAAATAAATAAATAAATAAATAACTCACTTATTCATCTTATCGATAATCACCTTAGCACATTGACTGTACTGCTGTGCTACATAAACGATCTCATCGTTTCCTATTACCTTACTACCGCTGCTGCCGCTGCTATTGCACGTATGATTCCGAAAGATTTGAGCTACTGACTGCAATATTTAATATTCTACTCATCCATTACTATGACAACAATAATAATAATAATAATAATAATAATAATAATAACAATAACATAAAAAGTATTAACTGTATTTTGACTTTCAGCTAGCACTTTCACGGCCGCTTCGGAGATGTGTCTTCGATTCTTGTCAATAAACTGCTGAACGGTGTAATAGGTTTGTCCAGCGTAATGTCTGATGGCGAACTCGACACGTTCTTTGCTACGCGCTTTACCGTAGATGGCTTTATCCAGATGATTCAAATTACATCGTTGCAGATAACCTTCATCCGATGCCTTTAAACAATCTCATCACATCAACCAATTCATTCATCAATCAATCAATCAATCAATCAATTGATCGATCAATCAATCAATCAATCAACCCACTTTCGGGAACTTGCACTCGTCGTCCAGCAACGGCAATAGACCATCCGGTCGTTTCAGTAACGTTTCAATAACACGCTCGTTGTCGATTGATAAAGGCAACTGTAATTCGTTTCAATTATACTCATATCCGATCGCCCTAATCTCATAATCTGTTAATACGATGATATCATCTCATAATCTGTTAATACGATGATATCATCTCATAATCCACATCTGTATAAATATAAATACCTGATAATCAATATCAATTTGCTCCTTTTCATAATCGTATAAGACTTCTTTGAAAATTTTCTTCACATAAAAGTTTTCGAATCGCTCATTCACCACATTCACACAGAACTGCTCGAATGCGTTGTTGTTGTAACGCTGTAACGTGTCATATTACAAATTAATTAATTAATTAGTTAATTAATTAATTAAGCCACAACGAATCGTCGATATGAAAGCACCTCGAATCCATAGTAATCAAGCAGAGCGATTGATGTTGTGTAGTTGGGACATTGGTATGCATACGATATTCTTGACATTATCCATTCGAATAGCTCATTATAAATTAGCTGCGCTAATCCATCGCTATAATTTTTGCAATATCATAATAATAATAATAATAATAATAACAATAATAATAATAATAACAATAACAATAACAATAATAACTACGATAAGCTTAATTGCAACAATAAAAATAACTGCAATAACAACAGAATCTCACCGAACATCTAAGGCTTGATCAATTGTCAACGGAGTGCTTACTGTCTCATCACCACTTTTCTGCAGTAACAATACAATAATAATCATAATAATACTAACAATAACAATAATAATAGCAACAACATCAATAACAATAAAAATTCAATATCGCACCATCATTCTACTTGTGAATATCGCACTCCACTGTTCAAAATCCAGCTCCATCAAGTAGGCAGACCACTTGATTTCCGAGTCATTACCAATTTCCACACCAGCCGTCGTTTGCTCATCATTTTCAGATACCTGACAATCAGATATCACCTGAGACGGTACGCTACGTACAATATAATATTACATTCATCATAACCGTCCTATCATAATACTAATTAATAAACACCATAATAAACGAACATAACAACAACCTAATGTGCGCATTAAGCGATTTGCCGTAGTTGAATGCTTGTGATTNACACCATAATAAACGAACATAACAACAACCTAATGTGCGCATTAAGCGATTTGCCGTAGTTGAATGCTTGTGATTTTTTTGTTTGTTTGCTTAGGTTTGTCAGTAGATTATTACTATTACTATTACTATTACTATAATCATTCGAGAGTGTCACCATGCATAAACACTGACAACATTTCAACGCACTAATCACTAATGAATTAGTCAAATTCAGTGCAGTCCATCAACTCCGTTCATCAGCTCACTCCAACTAATCGCTCTCCGCACTACCATTATAAATCCCGACAAATCGCCCGATAACAACTCAGTCCCGTTCCAATAAAATCCACGTACAATTACAATTACAATAACAATAATAATCACCTTTCTCGGTCTAAAAAACAGATTGCCAATATGCAAAATGGCGGCCAGTGTGCAAAATATGAACGTTTGCTGGTCATCACTGAATCCGACCAGTTTGAGTGCATCGCGTAAATCACAGAACTTTTCCATTTCATTCGTTTCATTATCACTACATTTACCCTTCAAATCAACAACTACCGTTACAATAATCACACTATAATAACGATTATACCAATAAATAACAATAATAATAATAATAATAATAATAATAATAATAATAATAATAATAATA